GGAGGAACGCGCCGCTGCACATGTGAATAGCGGCGCGTTCCTCCTCACAGCCGCCAGTGACAGCCAGCAGCCTGGTATGCCATAGCGACCCAGGCGGCCCGCACGGCATCAGGGGGATGTCCTGGGCGGGCCCCCCTGTGCCCCGGGCCCCCTAACAGTCGCTATGGTGATTGTTACGCCACTGAATAGAAGACACCAGCACTGGTTGATGTGTGCAAGTAGTAAATCACTTTTTATTAGATTGTCACATGCGTCATACAGCCGACGTTTCGGGGGCCCCGCGTATCATCGCTCTCACTACACACATGTCTGTCCCCCCCCCCCAGCCAAAGCATTTTTGCAGCTGCAGGTTTTCTATGTCATGCAACCATTGCGCAACTGTTTGTCAACCCCAAATGATCCGCACACCGGACACATTGTGGTGCGCACAGATACAATATAATACCCGATATTCTGTAACATGTAATGGATGAGGGACTATCAATTTCATGGATACCAAACATGTTCATAGGTGATGATATAAAAGCCTCAACAGCTCATCAATTTACAGCTGACCATAAATAAGGGCCCCATGATTATTATCATTATATAGGATTTCTATAGCGCCAACAGTGTGCGCAGCGCTGTACAATATAAGGAAGACATTACAATCACAATACAATTCAAGACAAGATGGTAAGGAGGGCCCTGCCCCTGGGGGGGTTACTATCTAAAGGGGAGGGGCCAGTGATACATGAGGAGGGAGCTGTGGGGGGGATGAATGGTTTGAGAACGTGATGGTTGAGCGGTATGATTATGATTATGGATCTCCAGTATGCTCAGCGACACCTAATATGTGTTGCACATGCGTCATTATCATACATGTGCTTTTTCCATTCACATGTGCGTGTACATGGGGACGGGCAGGGGCTTCCTCATAATGAGGCAGCCTCAGGCGGCATCTCATTGAGAGGGGCAGCTAGTGTGGTGGGGGCAGCACACGGCCGAGTAACAGCACCACCCCTTCCCTGGCTGCAAGCTCGGCCGGCCGCCACTCCCCCTTTCTCCTGGCCAGGGAGACTGCTGCTGGGTGACACCATCTTGGATGTGATGTCCACGGCCAGGGGCGTATCTGCACCGGGGCAAACAAGGCGTTTGCCTCGGGCGGCAGATTCCAGGGGGGGGCGGCAAAAATGCCACCCCCCAAAAACATTTAGGCGGACGGTCCTAACACTATATGGTTGGTAAATCTAAAGAAGATTGCGCAATCGGATCGTGACGTGTGTGTGACCAGCCATGTATTATGAGGGTCTACCCCATTGGATGTACTTTGGCAGGTCACATGCCCCTAGGATGGACTTCCTCCTCAATGCAGTGACACCAATTTCACTCAACCCTGTGAATACGCACTTCCCGGCGTCACCGCTGTCACAGAGCCCGGCGTCCGAACTACAACTCAACATCTGAACAATGTAACATCATGCATTGCCCGCTGGAAGCAATGCATGATGGGAGATGTAGTGTTGAGAAATGGCGATTGCATCGCGCCAAGCAGTAGGGAAAGAGACGCAAAGCACTCTGGGAGTCCAGGAAGTTGTAGGAAGTGATGGGCAGACTGGAGGCAGAGACACTCTACTATGTGTTCCTATTACAGTGATGATGTCATAACCGGGGAGGAGATGCCGGGACTTTTAATGGACGGAGCCGGCCGTGATGTCACAGCCAGCTCTGCCCAGTTGTTATTCATTGGCCGGCACCTGCTAGAAGACTCTAACAGGTGCCGGCCAATAGGAAACGGTTGAGCTGTCACCGTTAGCTCCGCCCAATTGGTTTTTTTTTTCTTTCAAATATATTTTTTTTAAATAATTTTCCTATTTTGTATCATTTTTTTAAACAATCTTTCAAAT